CTGAGCTTACATCAATATTTTAAAGTATGGAAAAAGGTAGTAAAGCAAATACTAGTTTTCTTCATTACATTCCTGGTGGTTTATGACTGTTAAGCTTAAGTTAATTAACATACCAAAGCAAAGATGTAATGTAAATATATTGTTAGTACTTTAAGTAACACATAGAAATTATAAACAAGAAAACTGTTAATGTTTGTGTAGCTAAGTTTATTTTACCCAAAGCATTTACATATTTATTATAACCTTATACTCTGAGATCTCACATATGTGAATTCTCACATATCTACTGACCAGCTCCAAGTGATATGAAAGAATTAGTTTTCTGTCAGTGGCAATCTGGAACACCAAATTTATTAGGTAATGTCAGTGCCAGCACTTTTAGTACCCTTTACCCCACAGTAATTAATTGCAATGCTAACTTGACCTAATAGCACAATTGCTAATGCTAGTCTGGATATTCCACACATTTTTTCTTTCAGGATTCAAATACTTGTGGTTTTTCTTCTGAATTTCCTGGAACAAACATTTGTGGCATGTCTAGACCAGCACTTAGTGTTGAATTCAGCTAACTCAAGTTAATTGGTAATCAATTAACTGGAGGTAAAATAGGACCAAAACCTCTATTCCAGGCATATTGCAATCCATCAGACAAGAAAGGTCCTGCAGCTTTACTCTGAGTGATCTTCATCTTTCCTATTTAAGTGTAAGGTTCACTGAAAAACATTTGCATATGAAAGTTGGTAGCAAAGAAGTTACTTGTATAACAGTCCAGCAGCCGTATGTGAGTGCAAAGTACTCACAGAGAACTTTTTGAGGAGTAACTTTCTCCTGCTATAATGATCTCTCGGGTATAAAACTAGAGCTATTGTATGACTGGTCTGCAGCCCTGTCCGAGGCAGTGACATGGTGGAGATGTATGTGGGACACAAAGCTGCATGCGCGCACATGGCATGGGAGCTAGTACTTGGTTCCCTGTGGTCATATTTGGCTTCCCGGCTGGAGGCTGTGCTTCCCTGGCTGCTTGATACGAAGCATCCAGCATGCCCAGCAGACACTGGTGGAACATCACCGACTGTCAGGTGGTTGTTGATGGGGTCAGCTAACCATAAAAAAGGTTCAAAGTTCTCCTTGGAAATAGATCTCTGTACTTGTGCTGGCAGTGTTCGCTTAATCAAGACCAGCTGAAAGTGTTCTCCAGAACGGGTGGTCCCTGACCAAGATCCCCCGCAGAGCAGCACATCGATTACTGTAACTGCACTGGCTTTTCCCTTTATAACATTCTATTCTTTCCCAGCATTCTGTCACATGTTCCTCAATGGGTCCTCTGGTATTCTGGACCGAAAAACAGTATTATTTTTCAATTGAGAAGTGATTGTACTGCCATGGTATTTTTGTTTACGCTTACCAACTGTTCTGAGAATCCAGATTCTTGTTTTCTCTCTTAGTCTGAAAATGAGGCAAGCTAATCCTATTGACAAGATGCTGCCTGATGATCTTGTAAAAATTGCTAATCCAAGGGCTGTGTTCACTTAGAGGGTAACAGTGCTGTTTACATAACATACACAGAAATTTACACAAATGTAACATCTCTGCAGACCTAGCAATATAAAAGGGGTATTTTTAAGATTGCAAGTGGTCATTTCCACAGGACTGGAATAACTAGACTGGTGTGAGTCTCCTCAATAACACTACAGCTGCATATACAGATCTATTTACTTATGCTGCACTGATCTTGTTTAAAAAACAAATGGTCACATGCAAGCATCCCTGGACATAATAAATACATCCTCAGAGCTTAGAGTCTACCTGTTTTATTTTAATCACTAAAATCTGTTTTCCAGTAACTTTTGCAGCTCCCAAACCAAATCAATGTTTACAAGGAGAGATAAAGAGATACATCCAGTACCGGAGAAACATTATGAGTTTTCATATTTGAGGTATATATTAGAGTTAGATTTTTTTTCCCCTTTTGTAACCTAAACATGATACAGCCACTAAAAGAAGTGGGTACAATTCAGTTTGCATTAGCTCTTTAGTGGTAGGCTTCAGCTGGGCATCAGCTTTAGCGTTAAGTGATAACACAGTGGTTCTTCACGCTTCAGCTATTTGCCAAATCTCATTATATTATTTGCTAATGCATTCAGCTTTGCCTTTCTCTCTGCATGGAGAGAGCTGGAGATGTCTTCCTGCTAATTTCCTGACCCACGGGATCCCTGAACTGCTTTGAATAACTGCTAGAGGTGCAATAGCAGTTCGTAATAGCCAAGGTTGTCAAGCCTGAGGTTAAGCTCAGAGGACTATATTTAGGCACTTCAACAGGTGGCCTGATGCACAGAAGTGCTGAGCCTGCAAGCTCCTGCTCAGCTACTTAAATACTGAAATCCATAGACCAGCTGAGAGAGGTCAGGACTCTTGAACATCCAGACATGCACTAAGTGCCTGAATATGTTCACAGGAACATAGTGAAGAATCTTTCCTTTTAACTCTGCTTAGTGTATATTTTAAGCTCGCAACAGTTTTATCTATGTGATCAGTATTTTCTTCATTGTTACAGAAAAGCTGATGCCTGATGTTCGCCATCAGTCCTCTCTTCCTCATACAAGCACTGAGTCAGTTCGATGGCTAGATCCCACGCTGTTAATATCTTAGGAAAGCTAGCTGATTTCACCTTTCCTTCAGAAAATAAATGAATAGTAAATTCAGTGTTGGTTTCTTATCAGTCAGTATTACTTGGCCAAAAGATAAATGATACCTTAGTTTCCCTTTGTGCAAAATAATTACTGCCTTGTAGGAATGGCTTACAGATCACTGCTCAGTTTTCTGAGAGATTTTGAAGTGTGGGCATCTTTCTGCTCACGGTGGTCTGAATGCAAGTCTTTGGAAGAATGTCACAGAATAAAATTCTCTCCAGCCACACAGATTCTGATGATCAAGCCCAATAATCTTTATTTTTTAAAAACCTTCCTATGAAACGTGATAAAATGCTCCATTTATTCTGCTATTAACACAGACACGTCTGCATGAAATGTTTCCACCAGCTGAAATGGTGTATTTTAATCACAGAAGTGTTCTTCAAAGAGCAATAATCAAGATTCTCAACAAATTCCTGAGTGTTTGAATGAAGCTGATTTTAGTCTGTTATTGTTTTCCTTGTGAATGTCATATAAAAATGCTTTTGATACATAATACAGCTGTTGAAAGTTTAGTGATCTTTTGGCATGTGTCAATTTAAGCCATTATACCTTGCAGACAGTTCATAACTCCTAGACAAAAGCTAAATACTACTTTATCCAAAGTTCTTAGATGTGGCCATTGCTTGGATCAGAAACTCCCTTGTTTGGTCTAGAGGCAGATCTGAATGGGGTCCGATCCAGCGCAAAACGGTGCTGCCCAGATTCTGAAATCAAATGAACAACAGACTTTGCCTGTAGTGAATAATTAAACAAATGAGCCTAATGTTCCCCGCCTGTGTTGATTTTGGCTTATTAATTGTGTGTGTGATCCCGTGACTCATATTTCACTGCAAAGAGTAACCCCCTTGCTGGCAGTCTGTAGGGCTGCTTCCTGCTTTGTTCTCCACCACTGAGCAAACACACCATTTCTACTGTATTTAGTTTAACACCCCTATATAAGCAGGCTCAGGATTAGACCTTCTGTTTATAAGGCTAGGTTTAAAACAAGTTTGTTTTCTCTACTTAATCCAGATTAATAAGAGATTTGCATTCTGTGTCATTCTTCATTAGCTATAAAGCCCATTAGGATATATTGCTTGCTGTATGACTGTACGGATACTACAACAATACTCTGTTCTTGAGCTCAGCTATAACGACATTCTTTATAACTAAGTACCATGGATCTTCTAATTGTTTTAATATGATGCCTCTGCTTTGTCAACCTTTTGAATTCAGTTGACAGATTGGCTCCTTCCCTTCAGAGTTATCAGCTGCATTTAACCTTGCTTTACTGGCAGATATGGCAAGAGTAAAAACTTATAGACCGTGAATCATAATTGCCAGTTTCAGAGGAAAAATTATATCCATATGCTGTTATTAGTCTTGATGTTGCATCACTTTTACATGAATATTTAAGCTTTTTTCTTTACTTGTGTTTTGTAACAAGGTAACTCTCAGCAGGTTTTTGGAAGGTCCTATTTTTTCTTTCTAGCTGAACTCTGCTGTCATGGAATCTGACTTGCAGGTCTCCTGAAAACACGATGCTGAGACTGTGCCCTAAGAAAGGAAGACAAATCTATTACCTTTTTAATACTACAAAATCATATTCAAGTTTGGTTTGTTCTTTTTTGGAAGCAATACGACCACATCTAGGAAAGTATTCCAAAATGGTTTTGACTATTAATACACAAAAGATTGACTATCTATTAAGTTGAAAACCACAGAAGAAAACAGTGGTTCATATTGCAGGTATGAAAGCCAGTCTCACAATCGAGGAGAAAAGAAACTGTGTATTATTAGGAGTTTATAACTTTTGTTCCCCTCCAGATTTTTTTGCAGTACAGTCCTTCATGGATTTTGACTGTTGCTTTCATCTTTGCTACATAGCCAGTTCAAGTTAAGATGAGTAGAGAGAGACAGGAGGGATGTCTGTGATAGCTTAGCCAATTTCTTAATCAAAGAAAATCAGTACTAAGTAAATATCAAGCCTACTGCCAAGGGCAAAAAAGGGCTGTCACTGATTCTGCAGTTCCAGCTGCTGAACGCCAGAGATTCCACGATCAGTCACTTGGCTGACCCAATACTTTCCCCTGGCACAACATTCATAATAAAAGCATATTTAATCTGTGCTTTGTGGAAGTGTCATACTTCATCACCTGGGTATATCCAGGGATGGTCCAACCACAGCAGCATAAGGCACTGAGTGCAAGTATTGGGGTAGTTGTTACAGTTAATGCAGTACTGAAAATGAGCTGTTTCATGCTGACCGATAGACTTAGCCCATCAGCCTAATTCCTGTGTTCCACAGGGAATTAGGATTCTCCCTACCTTTACCTAGGTCCTGGCTGAACTTCACTGCTGGCTCCCTAACCTTCCATCCAACAGGAAAGCTGTTTGTGATCCTCCTCGGCCATCTGTGCTTCATCCACAGTCTCACACGTGACTTATTCTAGCTGCAGCCTCATTAACTTTCAATATCCAGTCTAACACTCACTGACTTGGAGGCTCAAAGGGAGAGGTAGGTCAAGGTCATCTTCTGAGTCTTGATTACAGGGTTTTGTAGGAGCTTCCCAGGTCTGTTTGAGCACAGTGGCCTTGAGCAAAAATTCCCTTCACTATTCCTTATCTCAGCATAGATCTACAGGTTATTTGCACTATTCAGCAGTTAGGGGAAAAAACCCTCACAAACTAAAGAAAGTAAATCTAAAAGCTTCTCATATAGATAACATTGAGAAGTACCTTTCTGCAGTGAAGAAATAACAAGCAGAGGGCAGCATGCTGATGCAAATGAGTTTCCAACCAGAGGACATTTTCAATATTAAAATAAAGTATTTTGTACAGTTACTATTTCCGTGACAAGAATAGAAAATGCCCTCTGTCCTCCTAAATCAGGTGTGTCCATTTCTCCTCCTTGTCAAGATGCTGGCAGATGGCAGCTCTGGCATGAGGACCAGGCCACCAGAATTACACATCATGGGTTTGATTTGGGGGTGCTTTCAGAAGGTGAAAAGGAGGAAACAGTGTCACATTAAAATATAGGTTTTAGTGCCTTCTGACTTAACAGTTCAATTGGCAAGCATGATATGCTGGTATCCAGAGGAGTTTTAGGAATAGCACCAAGTAAGCACACAGCTCCTTCAGGGGGTTCCTTTCTCTTGATTAAAAAAAGCTGTTAAAAATCAGATGTTATTTTCAAAAAGTGAGATCTTTGTCTGTGCATATGAAGTGCTCACAGGAGTTAAATTTTGCTATCACTTTCTTATTAGGAGATTAATTTGGGCATCCTAAAAACACTTGGCTGATCCTACAGTATCAAATATTTATGATCCTACAAACTTTGCTTCTGCATTTTACTTAGAGCCTGACTAGCCCACTAGGATAAAAGATGTCTCACATGAAAGAATCGTTCCAAGTTTTGGGCCCAGAGCATATAAAAAACTTCCTAACATCAAGTCCCTGCCCAAGCCAAGAAGGAAGATGTGCAACATTCTCCCCCATGTGGGAACTGAAGCTTCTGCTGGAGCATGGTGGTTGTGACTATCTGGCACTGTCAATGCCTATAAGGAAACTGCTGAAGAAGTGCAACTGCTTTCCCTCTTAATTCAAGGAGACAGAGAAGCAACCTCCCTGTAGGCTTGTTGCTTTTTTTTTTCTGTACCACTTAGCAGAAGTCCAAAGGACAGAATTGAAAAGTAATATCAAAAGGTAAACTCCTTAGCTGACTGGTGTCAAATGGCATAGGTCCAAGGATTAGGCCTGTAAGCTTTAACCAGCACAAAAAGTTTCTATCCATCCTGAATACATAGGGATGCCTTCCTGTTTCTTCAAGAAAAGAAAAATGGACATTCACTGAATTGCAAGTCACAACCTCGGGCTATGACCCAGGCAGAAGATATTTAGATTAGCAAAACAGAAAATAGCTTGCTGGCCCAAAGGCAACAAGATTCTTGTGCCATTCAGCCCTCATTCAAGATGTTTTAACTAAGAGTCCTAGTAAGGAATTATTTTGCAAGTCTTCAAAAAGCCAATGTTCAAAATGGCCACCTGTAACTCGATAAAGACACTTAGTTGCTCCCATAAGCATAGGATATGCAGGAGTTCTGTTTGCCTTTGCATGCAAATATTTATGATCAAATTTACAAGCACATTGATGTACACAAGAGAGATGAGGTAAGGCCAGTGATTATAACAAATTATTCAGAAAACTTAAAATATGCAATGTGTTTCTGCTATAAATTGGAAGAAGCAGTATGCATCTGGTACAATGTCTTATTAGGTTCTATAGGAACTGTGCCCATTCCAGGAAAATAACATTATTTTATTCTAAAGAGATAGATGAAACTCCTGCTCCGTGTACACTAGGGGCTGGAAAGCCAAAAATTTAATAAATAAAAATATTTGGATGCATGAAGAATGGGATAAAAACTAATACAGAAAACATTACAATGGCTTTATGAAGACAGTTTCTTTTTACTCTTACAATTCTCTGTCCAGTTTTCAACTTTCCACTCCCCAAAATACAAGCCAAACATACAGCATGCTCAGAGATAGACTGAAAAATAGCACAGGAATGTAAAACTTCCATTTGAAGAGAGGAAGAAAATATTAGATGTGTTTATTTTACAAAGAAAGTGAATAAAAATGAAGGTGATAAAACTGTTTAAAACAATGAATGATGTAAAAGAACAAGTATTAGTATCTATGCAGTTGTATAATAATGCAAGCTTTCAAGAAAACTGAATATAGGGGAATTCCAAAATGATGAAGAGGAAGGCTTTAAAAAAATCCATATTTAGCCTCTGGAACTTAATACTGTGAGACTGTGGTGAGATAAAATATATGCCTGTATTCAAAAATGGAGGGATTTTTTATGCTGATAAGACCATATGAACTTAGAAAACCACATTAAAGAGGAATATTTCAAACTAAAACTGTTGTGGAATATACAAAATCATCTGTTAAATAGTGTTTATCATTAAAAAGGTATGTACAAATTATCTTGCAATTTCTTGTGATGAAGTCTCTTGCTCTTCACCCTGAGGTAGGTGATATTGGTCACTAAGCTTAATATTCTCCATATTTAACTGTCCCCAGAAATTTGTTTATGATCTTGTGTTTACAAAAGCAGTAACAAGTAACTTTGCATTGAGGATGTTTATATCAGCATAGGACTTTTTACATCAAAATAAATAATGGTGGATTATCTACAATCACTTCAATTGTTTATAAAAGTTGATATGAACACTCCCCTGTATTTTCATCAAACCACAAATATTTATTCTTGGCTCAATCTTAGAATACACTTGTCGGATGTGTATACACTAACTGGGGAAAATACATTTTAAGTAGTATCTTAATTATCAGCTATCTAACCTAAGGTGCAAAAGTCCGACTATGAAGACGAGTTTTAAAGCTGTAGAAGCTCATTTTGTTGACAAAAGAATTGATAAACTGTGAAGCACACTTTCAAGCATTTGTGGTCTTTTTCCATAAATATTTTTCCACTTGAAACCTCTTTATTTTAACCTCCCTAGTTTCTAGATCAATTTGCATCAAATAAGCATCCACAATGCAAAGTGGATACCTAAAATGAAAAATTATGAACTACTTTTTCTCCTCCAAAGTTTAGTTTAAACAAGTCATCGAGGCAACACTCAGCAGTACTTTATAAGATACAAAGTGATGTGATAATTAATCAGTGGGTAAATGCTGTCAGTAACAAAAAAATTAAAGCAGATTTCATATGTTCAGATTCCAAACCAAGATGTTCTGTTTTCCTCAAGAAGAGGCTATTTTTATTTATCTTAGAAACTGCTTTAAAAATAAACTGGGTCTTGGTACTTTTTCAGATGTTCTCATTTATTGTCATGTGCCAGCAAATGGCCACCGCATTCCCGGCTGCTGTCTATTAAATGTCTGTATGGCTTGTGTCCAATCTGGCATTTGTTTCTATTGAGCTGAAAATGCAGAAAAGGCCATTACAGCTACAGCATGTCTGTAAGCAGGCTACTTTATCCCTTTTTTAATTCTTCTTCTTAGTCCTGTAATGATAGAGACTTTCTGTACAAATGTGTGTGAAACACAAGCTTTTATGTTTAGAAAACAAAATTAAAAAAAGAGCAGTGCCATGAATTACATCTGAAAATATAATTTGCTTGATAAGTAATGTAATCTATGGATGGGAGAATCTTCCCATTTTCCAAGAAAGACTCATTAGCTGAGTTTTATGCTAAGATCTCATACTAGCAAGATACCACTATATTTGATAAAACCAATGTCAGTTTATATCAAAATTCATATATCAAAGAATAAGAAGTAATTTACCAACCATTCTCACTGCTGCTTGTGGGTCTTTTTTCAGCTCACATGCTCTTTAATAATGGAGAAGAAGGACTGTGCTTCATTCTTTATTCCACTGAAAATAAATTATCAAGTTCTATTGCTGAGCCAAAAAATTAGTTTGCGTTACACTTTCAGAGACTGCTGAGCAGGAAAATACTGAAATTTTTAGGGGGTCCTTAACAGAATTTGCTGTACTGGGACAGACAATTGGTCCAACATGGTTCACCTTGCTTCTGGAAATTGCCTTTGCCTCGTGTCCTCTCTGAAGACATCGTCCAGGAAACCCCTGTTACCACTCCTGTTCTCACAGCATCAGAGAATGAGGAGAGAAATGAAGAGGCAAGCTCTCTCTACTCCCTTCCCTCAAATGAACTTCCCAAAGTGGATCAAATGGCTTTTCAAGTCAAAAGCCAAACAGTGTTCAGATACAAGCTAGTATATTTCCAGTAAATTCAAAGTAAGGAATCTATAACAGAAATAGAAAACGCTTGTAGCCAGCTCCTCTTGCAATGCTCTAAAAGAGTAAAGTCAGAGCTCGCTTCAAGTTCTATTTGCAGTCAATTCATTAACTTTTTTAAGCTCCAGCAAACTCTACAGCCTCCCCTCTGGTCCCTAGAGGGTTTTCTTTCTAATGTTTCTGTGGCCCATTTCAGCAACCTCTCCATCTGAGCATGATCTGCAGGCTCTGAGGTCTCTCCTGGGACCCTCATTCTCTACCTTCCCATACTCTTCAAGCTGTGTAACCTCCTCCCCATCATCCTAAGCAGGTGCTTCCAGGAAAGGAGCAACATTAATATCACCTGGAGGTATCCCCACACCTTTATATTTTTTAGAGGAGGATGATGAAAAATGGACAGAAAATCTATAAAAGACATATCTCACTGATAAAAGGAGAACTTTAATTTAAAGACTGAGTTTTTGTCTGATTTAATGGCCAGCTCACGAGAATCAGTCACCTTTTCAAAAATCATCTGTAGTTACAGCTCTGTGTAACATTACAAATGGTAAAAGATCCCGCAAGCAGAAATAGCTCCTAAGTGATTCTTATTTGTTCTCATTGTCTTACACCTATGTCCTCATATACCTTAGACATGTTTGTGGTCTCACTGATATCCATGGGCTTGAGAGCTTGAGCAGTTACAGTTAA